TAATTAATGTATTAGCGGCTTAAACTTTGGGCCAGGTCATGTTTAGTCAGATTTAGGCCCATTAAGCCATTTACATATAGAAAAATTACATTAGGCGGCAAGGGGGGATTTTTTGGTTGGACGCTAAATTTTTTTGGGAGTTACGGTTTTTTGTTTTTGGGTCCCAAACTTTTCTTCTCTCTCAAGAATTCTCTTTTTCTCCCTGGATATTTCTGTCTTCTCTTTCGCGTTTTGGTGCTGCAACATGATAATGGTGCAAGGCTAATTCAATAATCGGTGAGAGGTTCAAAGATATGGTATGTTTGAGTTCTAAAATTTTTCCTCCGATTGAATTCTTTCCTCTATACTCTTCTCTGTTTTGTTTTAGGTTAAAAATGGATTGCATGATTATGAATTCGTTTTTCTTCCATAAATAGATTAGAGATTAAATTCAGATTTGAATTCACTTAAATCAATTTTAATTCAACCGATTACTTTCATGAATTCTTATTACGACATTGTTACGTGATTACATTTCAAGTTGTAGTAAAGATTCATAATCAAGATGTTGATTTCTGTTGTCAATTTCGGTTTGGATTTGTGATTGCAAGTTCATTGAATTAAGATTGGTTGAGTGAGAATTTGAATTTAACTTGAATAATGAAAGCAACCATAGGGAATGAACCTTAAACCGATTCCAATTTCTGTTTCAGAAAATTAAACCCCCAAATCTAACCCTAATTTCATGATAAAAAAAATTGAAAATAAAATGCATCTTGTTGTCCCTGAGAATTCGACCTAGGTTAGCTACTAATTCTACATTCATAAATCAAGAAACCTAGTTTGTTTGTTAACCCTTACGACGTGGTTACCAAATATCAATATGTAACTAGAGTTATAATACAATAATCAATTACAATGTAATACACATATATTAATATCCGAGTTTTGAATATAATATCTAATATTTAAGAATGTTTTTCTTTGTAAAAGTGACTTATTAAGATATGATTGTAATGAAATGAATTTATTTAAGTAATTTTTTTTAATAATTGACTTATTTTTTTTGTCTATTTAACTTGAAATATAATAATTGTGTTTATATATAAAAGAAATACATTCATTTAAGTAGAGACAAAGTAAAAAGAAAAATTTAAGTGGAGCAAATTGGATAATATATATACATTAAAATTATTTGTGATATAAAAATATATTATATAAAATTATTAAAAATTATAAATCATTTAATATTGACATAAAGTAAATATATATGAGATTAAATATATTTTAATTGTGTTTAATGATATTTTATATTATACAAATCATCCATTATTATATAGTGTATATGGTAAGTTGCTCACTAATATTTTTAATATTATTTTTTGAATTTAAATTTAGGAAGTTAAAATTTATTTTATAATATATCATCTCTTTTCTTTTGAAAAATAAATGTATAACTTTTTTTCTATAAACATCACTAAAACTCAACCTAATTTTTTTTTCTTTATTATATTTTAACATAAAAATTGAATATTATAAAATATTAAAATAATTAACTAATTGATAACATAATTGATAACAAATAATAAGCTGAAAAAAATAATAAAAAAATTCTTTACTCCAAGAGAAGTGAAAATTAAAGAGAAAAATTTATAATTTTTATATTATAAGATGAAACTGAGTGAAAAAAAAATATGAAAGTAAAAAAGATAAATGTTTAAAATTGAAGTGTAAAAGGAAGAAAAAAATATTATTTATAAAAATATAATAATTAATTTTATATTTTAAAAAACTATTTAATTTTTAATATATATATATATATATATATTATTTAGAATAAATACAAATTACTTTTTAAATGTTGTGTATTAGCTTAATAATCAATAATCGATACACTTATAGATTGATATTTTTCTAAAGATAATAATTATATTTTTTATATGTTAATATTTTAGAATAAATGCAATTTATTTTTAAATGTTATATTTATATTAATATCAATAATTGTTACACCTATATATTGATATTTTTCTAAAGAGAATAATTATATTTTTTTAAAATTAAAAATATTATATATATATATATATATATATAATATTTATGAATCAAATCCTGTCTAAAACTAAATTTGTTTTGATTAACATAATTTAAATTTTATAAATATATTTTTGTTTTATGTTTTATGAATTAAACTCTTTTCAAATGTAAATGATTTTTTATTTATTTTTAAAGAAGGTCACGAGAGTATTTAGGATTACTAGTATATATTATGTCTTTTATTATGATATTTTTACATTGGACTAAGTTTTAATATTAACGCATGAACGTAAATTTATATCCAAGATGTAAATTTTTATCAATATTTTAGTAGGATCCACTTCTCTCCCTTAACAATCACCATTAGCAACCACCATCCGAGATGTGTAATTGGTAATCATATCCTCTAGGATTTTCTCAGTGGTGGGAGCAGTAGAGGGTAGCCGTGGAGGAAGATTTTTTTTTTTTTTTTTTTGTTCTCTTTAGACTTTTTCTCTATCGTTGGTTTTTCCAATGTTTTCCTTGTTTTTTCTTACTGTATCTTTTTGGATTTAGTTGATTGATTAATGATAATGATAAACTTAATGATGATTTCCTCAATCAATAATCTTTAAAGAAAAATAATTAAAAGATATATAAAATAAATTTTACGTCAAAACAATGATTTGATGTAAAAAAATTGGTTTTAATTTTAAAAATATTATTAAATGTAAATAATAACTAATTAAAAAAAACTGACATACCACTTGAAATGTTGGTAAGCTTGACAGTTACAAATTTACCAATTGATCACGATTTATATAATTGAAAAAAAAATATTGAGTGAATGCGTAAGATAAGTCTTTTGGGAAAAAAGTATGCTTTTGCTGCGTCTTTCTTTAAAATTTCTCTTTCATCTTTATAATTTTAAGTTAGTCAATTTCATCCTTTAACTTTTGAAAATATATCATTTTAATCGTTTTTTAATTTGAATTTAATATATAATTATAATTTTTCATCTTAACGAATTGATAAGAATTAAATGTGATTTTAATATTTTTTATATTTAAATTTAATATTTAATAATATTTTAATTATTATAATATTAATAAAAAAAACTGAATTCATATTTTTTAAGTTTAAGTATAATTTATTAGAATTTTAAAAATAAAAGAATAAAAATTAATTTAAAAACAACTATAAAAACGAACAAAATATTTACCGTAAAGTTTCCAACAAAATCATTTATCATTGTCATAGTTTTTCATTTGTACTCTCACGAGAACTTCACTTAATAATTAATATACTTTCAAACAATTTCATTAATAGAATGCTTGTCTAGATATATGTGACAAATTTTAGGCACCATTTATCATTTTTCGTACTAAGAACATATACAATGGTAAAATAAAAAGATTTTTTTTATTACTTCAATTTGTTTTCACTCCAAATAAACAACTTTAAAAAACTAATATTTTTAAATAGTTTGTCAATCTCACGAGTCACGGTTTCCCCTTTCCCCTTTCTCATCTGATCATGCACATGAAAAAATATTTTAATTGTTATAAATTTCTTAGGAATTTTTATATAGAAGAACTGTTGACATCCCATCCAACTAATTGTCTCCTATGGAAAAAAATAATAATAAGATATAAATTCAATTGTAGAAAGATGGTACCATTTTTTATATAAAATTTTAAAGTATTAAGTTACATGTTTTTTTTATTATGATATACAATATTCTTATTCTTACTTAATAGTTATTTAGATTTATATTTAAATTTTTTAACAATTTTCTCTTTAAATATAATTTTACCACATTAATACATATTTTTTACTTATTAGTAACCCTTTCTTGTATTATCATCGTTTATGCAATACACTTGTCTAACTCATAATTAAAAAAACTTTGGATACAATAATCACTTTTAAACTGTTAATAATTATATAAATCATCAAATTTAATTTCATCATATTAGGTATTTAGAGAAAATTTATTTTATTTAGAGAAAATTTATTTAAGATAGACAATATTATTAAGACATGAGTATATCTCATAAAATAAATTAAAATTATTTTTAATCCAAAATCTTAATTTAATAGATTTTAAAAAAATATTTATACATTAAATAGTTAAATAGATGGTTTACAGAAAGAAAATAATAACACTAATTAAAAAATGGCAGTGACTTTTTATTTTTATTTTTTATAAGCTACCTATTAGTTAGCTACTCTGGCGTTTTGTCTTTTGGCAATAATTATTAGTCACTAGCAAACAATAAATCAATCACTGTGACTTTTATGGCATTATACTATGAAAGAGATTATTGTAGAGGAAGCAATTAAAAGTATTAAACAAGTACTTGCATTTAATTACACCCAAATGAGGAGATTAAAGTTTACGTACGTGATGGTGTCTAGTTTTAGTTAAACCTTTTTCTGTGAGGAAATATTTTGGTTAAACTTGGCGGCTAGATGGATGCATTAAGTTCTAACAAGTAAACGCCTGAAATCAATGTTCGAACAGAACCCTTATCTTCTTCAATATATTAATACATGGTGCACTTTATGAAAAGCAATATGAGGAAGACATTTCACCCGAAGAAACTGATGGTGAGAGAAAGGAGGTGGGGAAGGGAAGAGGAAAGAAGGAAACAAATTGTAGTGTCAAATTGAAAGACAAGACAGCTTTACAATTAATAATTTGCTTTTGAAAAGCTCATCCATCATGTGTTCATTTTCAATAACAACAAAATTGGATTCGAAGCTGCACATTTTCTCATCCAAAGATAGTACGAATTTTATTCGACCAATTAGGGAAATTACATTTGAGTGACACCAAAGAAGCAATAGTCACGGCGCCCAATTCCACGACAGTGCTTATTAATGGACATACAAAGCGACAGCTAGTCACGAAAGAGAAATATACAAACACAGTCACATTAATAATATGAAACCCAACACATGGTTCCCCACGAGTACGACGATGGTGATATCTCGTTCCATCACAATCTCAGACGATGGGGTTTGAGAGTCTTGTAAGTCACCGGCTCAGTAGGAGGACCAGTGACTTCGGAACTGGGTTTTCCCCAGTGCGATTTGCACGGCACGTAGTAGAGAGAACTCGGATTCGGACACGCCTTCTTCGTCTTGTAAAAGTCATAGCATTCTTTGGAAGACCTTTGTTTTGGGAGCCCCGGGATGCAATTGTTGGAGACATCCAAAACCTTGGACTTGATCAAACTCCAGCAGGACGGGCCAATCTCGTTGAAGTAATTGTTGGCCAGGGAGAGATTACCATTGTTGCGGAGAGAAGAAATTTGACAAACATTGTCGGGAACACATCCGTAGAATTTGTTGTGCGCCAAATTGAGATACTGAATGCTCTTCAAGCACCCGAAGGAGAGAGGGATGGGGCCGGTGAGTGAATTGTTACTCACGTCAAAGACCACAGCTCTTTTGAGGTTTCCAATTTCAAAGGGCAAGCAGCCATCGAACTTGTTGCCGGAGAAGAGAACTTCGGTGAGGTTGGGTGCGTGACCGACGCTCTTGGGAATGGGGCCGGTGAGGTTGTTGTTGGCGAAAGTCAGGTAGCGAGCCGGTGTGGACCCGAAATTCTCCGGGAGGCCCTGAGTGAATTGGTTGTTGTTTATGAAAATGACATCGAGGTCCTTCTCGAAGAGTTGGGAGGGAATTGGACCGGTGAGTTGGTTGAAGCGGAGGTCCAGGAAGACCAGTAGGTTTGACTGGAGCGCGTCCAGGGGAAACTGGCCATTGATTTTGTTGTTACTGAGGTCGAGCTCGAAGAAGAAAGGGAGACGCGTGATTTCGTTGGGGACGAAGCCGGCGAAGCCGTTGGAGTTGACGTGGAAGAATGTCAACTCCGGTATTTGCTTCTCACCCAAGAGAGTTGAGAGGGGCAAATCGCAGCCGTTTAGACCCTTCACTCTTGCTCCGTTCAAGTCCAATCCTGCAACTGCTTTCTCTGATGTGTTCGGATATGTGGCGCATCGTACACCCCTGAAGTCGCATGTGCCGGTGTTCTCGTTCCAGTTTTGCGTGTAACATGTTGGGTCATCGATGAGGGATTTGAATTTGAGAAGCACGCGACGAGCTTTCTCTAAACGAGAAAGCTGTTTGGGTGGGGGAGGGGGGCATGGAGATTCAGGGGAAGCAGGGGAGGGAGCAGGGGAACCTCCACCACCTATGATGATTTCAAGTGCTTCTCTTTTCTCTGGCTCCCCTAATGCTTCGCTTTCGGATTTTGCCACCTCTTGTGCTACCCCTTTGGAAAGATGAAGGTGAAGTAGGAGAGTGCAGAGTAAAAAGGAAGCGAAAATGGTTTTGGTTGTTCTTTCCATCTTCGTGATGGTGAGAAAAAGAAGGTTTTGTTAAGCGTTATATAGTGTCGTGTAGAAGATGATGGCATGTGAGGAGAAAAGTCAAGGGGGGCTTGAATTCGATGGAGGGGAAAATATTCTGCATTCTCGTGAGAAGCTGTTACGCTTTCTTTTTCTGAAAAGGACAATGATTTGTTCTGGTGCATCTTCAACTTGACACGTTCACCATTTTTATGAGCCAATACTACCAAAACAAAAAGAAAAACAAGAAAACCACCATACGTTCATTTGTTTTTCTTCTGGGATATTTTTTAAGGTTTAGATATGCATTTATTAATAAATAATATCTTCATATTTTGGTTTTATATTTTTTGAATTGTTGGTTTTATTTAAAATATGCTTACATTTTTAAGGAAGGATTCAGTTATCATTTACTGAGCTACATATAAGATATTGCTCTAAGAAAACATTTTACTTAACGTGGAAGGTACATTACAGAGGCGGATTTAAGGGACGAGTGGCTGCTACGGTCCTAATTTTTTTTTAATTTTAATATAGTTTAATTTAAAAAAATTCCTTTTAAAAATAAATAAAAAATATTTTTTCTTTTACTTATTATAATTTTATCTTAATATTAAATAATAAATATTCCTATTTTATTCTCTCAATTAATATTTTATTCAAATTTTTTGTCACCTTTCTATTTTTATATTTTTATTTCTTATTTTTCATTTTACTAATTTGAATTTTTTCTCTCACATTTATTTTTTACTTTTTACATTTTTCTTTTTGTAATATTAAAATTATGTGGTTTTTTAGCACACAAATGGTATCAAAAGCATACTTTTGATTATCCTATATGTTTGTAATTTTTTATGTATAATATAAAAATATAAAAATTGATAAATTTTAATATTTATTATTCATTAATCAGTTGTTTCAATATTTTATTGTATTCTACTTTGATATTAAAATAGGAAAACATCAAGTTAAACTTTAGATATTTAAGAAGGAAAATATATTTTTTAAAATAAAAAATAAATAATGAAATAAATATTTTTATATTAAAATATGAAAAAGAAGAATCACATTTAGTTATAAGTATCTAACATAAATTATTTTTTTGAGAAGACAGATGAATGATAAAATAAATTTTATTTTACTAAATTTAAATTTAATAAATAATATAAAAATAAAATTATTGAAAAGTTTAATTAGAATGTAATAACTAATATTTTATAATATAAAATTTTGTTAAATATAAAAAATATTAAATATATATTTGATTTTATATATATTTATTTATATATATTATTTATAGTTTTAATAGTTTTATATAATATATATTTTTTATGTTAATTAATTTTAAGGTATATGTGATTATTTATCTTAAGTTTCTGAATAGTCTATGAATCATTAAAAAAGTTATAATGTAAATTTATACACTATTTTATTTATTTAAAGTTAGGCCAATTCGCCTAGTGTAAATATCATATATGAATTAAAAATGTATATGTATTTATTGTGGGTACAATTATAAATATCTCGAATGAATGGAGAGATATCCAGATGATCGATGCTTAGAGAAGTGAAGCAAAAGTAAAGGATAAACTATATCTGACAAGTTGTGAAAATGATAAAGATCTTATTGAAATACTCTGGCAAAGATCTTGTTGATTTGATGAAGTTAAGAATGAAATCAAAGGCAACTTTATGGCGATCAAAAGTCACTTAGATAAAAGAGTAGAGGGATTAGTGTGTCCGTAGCTTTGCTTAGGTATAATCATTTTTATCTTTTCAGTCGCATGAGGTTTCTTCACTTAAAAGATTTTGCAAAATGCCTCTAAAAACGTTTAAATAGTTAAAAACAAAGTATTTTGATAAAAACTTTTGAATTAACTATTTTTAACTAATAGCATATATGTTCTATCAACTAAAATGTTCTTAACAATTTTATAACAAGGTTTTAAGCTGATATAATTTCGAAATAACCGATTGTTTTCATTAAAGAAAGTTTTGAAAACCTTACATCGAGTATTTTAAGCGATACTGACTTCGAAATAACCGATTAAAATCACTTAAAATGTTCGGAGAAGTGTTTTGCCAGTATTTTAATCGATATAACTTTGAAACAATCGATTAAAACCACTTAGAGTACAATATGACCGATCGAATGCGTTTATAACCGATCAGAATCAGATATGATCGATCAGAATTGAGTTATGACTGATCAGAATTATTTTAATCGATTAAATCACGTTTCAATCGATTAAAACAACTTAAGGAAATTTCTACACAGCGTTTTAATCGATTAAAACATATTTTTATCAGTTAAAATCACTTGGAAAAGTTTACAAGAAAGTTTTGCAGTATTTTAATCGATTGAAACACGAGACAATCGATTAAATCAAATTTGAAGATTTTTTGTAAAGAGTTTTAATTAATATAAACGTTGTCATATCAGTTAAAACAAATCTGGAAAATAATCAAGAACGTTTTAATGGATTAAAAGAAGTTTTAACATATTAAAACAAGGCTTTTAACAGATTAAAAGATTATTTTAACAGATTAATTAAACCAGCAGTTTTGAAAATCTTGTATATAAACAAAATTGCTTGATCATTTTAAAACACATCTGATACACATCCTTTTGCAATCATTCAAACAATCAAAAGTACTTCTTTCAAGAAAGATTCGTGCCAGTTTTTGTGAAGTTCAAAAGAATTCTTTCTTGAGGCAAAATTGCATTCTTTTGAGAAGAAACAACATACTACAGAATTGCATAAAACTGGTTTGAGCATTCTAGTTTCTTCTGTTTGTTTCTTTACATTCTTTTTTGTATTGTTGGTGCCTGGAATTGTGGGCACTGGTTTCTCTACAGCTGGAATTTGGTTGTAGAGGTTGTCAAGAACAAATTACCGTTTTCTGAGGGAGCTTCTATTAATAGACCTCCACTGTTTTGTGGAACAGATTATCCATTTTGGAAAATTAGGATGAAGATCTTTATTGAATCTATTGATAGGAATGTTTGGGATGTAATTGCTAATGGTCCATTAATTACAAAAAAAGAATGGTTCAGTTTAAATGATGAAGAAAAGAAAAAAGTTCAAAGTGATTGCACTGCTAAAAATATAATTACTTCTGCACTAAATATGGATGAGTTTTTCAGGGTCTCCCAATGCAAATCTGCCAAGGAAATGTGGGAAGTTCTTGAGGTTACTCATGAAGGGACTGCTAATGTAAAGAGAGCCAAAAAACATACTCTCATAAGAGAATATGAGTTGTTCAAAATGCAAACTGGTGAAAGTATTGCAGATGTACAAAAGCGCTTTACCCACATAATCAATCATCTAATGGGCCTAGGTAAAACTTTTGATAAAGAAGAATTAAATATTAAAGTCTTGAAATGTCTTGACAGGTCATGGCAGCCAAAGGTCACAACAATCTCAGAATCAAAAGACTTGTCCGTCATGACAACAGCTTCTTTGTTTGGCAAACTTAGAGAACATGAAATGGAAATTAACAAATTCAATGAGCAAGAAGTCTCTGAGAAGAAAGGCAGAAGTATAGCACTCAAAGTTGAAGAAAGAAGTCAAGAATCAGAGGAGGAAAGTGAAAATCTTGGACTGCTTGTCAGAAAGTTAAACAAATTTCTCAAGAAAAAGATTCAAGACAAGGAAAAACATAAAAGGTATGAGAAAAAAATCTGATTCTTCTAACTATAAATGCTATGGCTGTGGTAAGCAGGGTCATGTTAGAATGGAGTGCCCAAAAAAGAACAAATACAATGACAAGAAAGAAGAGAAAGTCAAAAGAAGAGCCTACATAGCATGGGATGACAATGATACTTCATCAACAGAAATTTCTGATAATGAAGAAGCCAACTTATGTCTAATGGCAAATAAAAAATCTTCAATCCAGCAGTGTAAGTTCTAACTCTTCTTCAAATTTAGTGAATTATAATTCATTACAAGAAACATTTAATGAAATGCATGAAGAAGCTAAGAAACTGCAAAAAGAAAATGATAGGCTAAAAGGATTGAATAATTGGTTAGTAGATAAAGTAGACTCTCTTGAAAAGAAAATTCTTGAAGATGAAACTGATCTTGATTTTTTAAAATTAATCCATGATAATTTTGATTGTGTATGTAATAAATCCTGTAATAATTGTTCAGAATTACAAAAAAAGATTGATTTTTTATCACAAACAGTTTCAAAGTTTACACAATGTCAAGATAATCTTGATGTTCTACTTGGGTCACAAAAACTGATTTTTGACAAATCTGGCATAGGATTTAATTCTAGGATGAAATTCAGAAAAACAAATGTAAATAGGAAATCATACTCTGTGATTAAATGTTTTTACTGCATGAAAAGAGGTCATTCAGTGAAATATTGTAGAATTAAGAAGTATGTTATTCCTAGAGGTAGAATGAAGTGGATTCCCAAAAATAAATTATTACAAATAACCTGATTGGACCCAGTAATTATAAAGGGTACCAGAAATATGCTAAATATGTTTTGCAGGAACAAAATCTGGAAGTCCCTTGGTGTTCAAAACAGCAAATCAGGTTCTGGTTTCATAAACTGATCGTTTTAATTGATATAAAACAGTATTAATTGATTAAAATAACTTACAGAGAATATCAGAAAATCTGTCCATATAGTTTTAATCGATTGAAATACGAATTAATCGATTAAAATGTTCTCAGGATTTGAGTTTAGCTGTTTTAATCGATTAAAAAGGGTTTATATCAACTAAAAACACTAAGATGTCAAATTTAATCGATTCTTTTTCGTTTTAATCGATTCAAATGCTGTTATCATTTTATTAATTTCATCCAGTACAAGATTAATCGATTCCTTTATGAATTAATCGATTATTTCACTGTAGCATTTTTAAATCTAGTATTAAAAGATCAAATTAATAGGTTAATTTGCTAATTAATCGGTTAAATTGTTTCTGAAAATTATTTTTACAACATTCAATTGAAAATTAGTCAGCAAATCAGAGTCAAAAT